CTCCCCTCTCCCCTGCCCCTTTCCCACCAGTTTGCAAAGTGGAGAAGAGGAGGGTTGTTTTAGTGCAGGGTGTTGACTTTAACCTACAGTCGGTGAGGATGGGTATAGTAGCGTTTCCCAATAGTGTGATGTTGCCATGGTATCTCCATGGCCACTGGAGCATCTCATTCATTATCACCAGCACCTTGGCAGGGAGTGCTGGGTCTGCAGTCAGCTTAGGCTAACGCGAGGCGGTACTGTGCCGTGGGGAGCTGCGGCCTGGGGGTTCCTAGAAAGCGTAAGCAGGGTAGAGAGAGAAATGCAACTGGCTGGCCTGTCCTTGCCCTGCTGGGGCCCAGAGGGACATGCACACTGCGTTCTCACTCAGGGATAGTGGGGGATGGAAGGACTGCCCAGGTGTGTTTCAGAAAATGCCCTGTCTGTATATGAGGAAGCAGGCGAAAGGAATACTAATACAACATCGGATAGTTAAAATAACAGCTATGATTAAAACACATCTGTAGGGGAATCAGAGTTAAAAACTATTATATAGAACAGCAAAAAAAAGGGGGGGGCTGAAAAGAATTTCTGTTGGCCCAGGGTAATGGTGGCCTGCTTCTGGGGTGTCTGGCTGTGGGGTGTTGGGGTTCTCTTTAACCACCACATGCTGTTTTGTTTACTTGTATGGGTATAATCTATAGATAGCCGTTATGCCTAAAAAGATACCTAGTCAGAGAGAGATTGAGGCAGAACAGACATCCCTGGTGAGTGAGAATTGCACCACAGTAGACAATTAGCATTTCTCAAAGATCTCACTCCTGTCCATTCAGCTGAACGGACTGAGTGCAGCCATCTGCAAGTAGCACATGAGATGACCCCCCAAAACGATGTATGTTCTACCTGGCGTGTAGGGGGTTTGGTTTTCTTCAGGGATTAAGTTTTGCAACTAAAGCTCAAAATGCAAGCTTAAAATAGTGAGGGAACGTTAACTGTTTATGCTTTTGTTTTCCTTGCATGGAGATTGAGTGGGGATGCTCTGATTCTTCATACCAAGGTTGCTTGTCTATTACAAATAGAGTTGATTGAACCCAAATTTTTAGGCAAAAAAAGGGACATGCTTTTCACACAAATATTTGAAAAGTATTTGTTTTGTGACCGGCTGGGATTACAAGTGACTGGTCACTTTCTCATTGCTGGAGAGATGAGCCGCAGGTGACCAATTCCTCACCAACTCTGGATTTTCCCAGCGTTCGGGTGTGTCTGACCCAGGCCCCTCTTTAAACCTGGCGGACTGTGTCTGTATCATTCAGGTCTGGGAATTAGAGATGCCGAAACTCATCCTGCCTAACTTCCACCCTCCCACCCCGGTCACGATGACTCTGATGATGTTTGGGCTCCTGCGCTGCTTAGGAGAAATGGCGAAAGGCAGAGCGGAGAGGGGGGAAAAAATAGGCTGAGGCTGGGGTGGAGTGAAAGACCAGTACCATACGTGCTGGGTGAGCAAAGCGTGCCTTCTCCGAACCTGAGTCGGGCACCCCAGCAGCTCTGAACTGCATTGGGAATTCCATCAGTATTCTGGAAGTCTTGATCATTGCAACATATTCAGTATGAAGGCTGCATGGTGCAGAGAGACCAAAAAAAGGAGTGGGGGCAGGGAGGGGGTGTATAAATGTGAATGGGAAAAGCCGCATTTGTCTCTGTATCTAGTTCATTGTAATTGGGTAGGGTGGCAGAGGAGTGTCCCTCATTGATTAGGGGTGAGAATTCTCCCCTTTTATTTTCTACCAAGTTGGCTCTATTTCTAGTTGCTCTGTTCTGCCGCCGGAGCCAGGAGTGGGCGTTGCTGGTGGGTAGGGCAGAAGTCAATTTATTTTGACGTCTCATGACTTGCCAGGGCACCTGTGGCTTCACCGGCTCTCGGGGCTCAGTTCTGGGCTATTTCTGACTCCGGTCTCCTGCGCGTGTCACATAGGAAGAGCCAAATTCAGAGGCGATGTGGAAGGTGGTGCAGCTCTGACTGCCTTAGGTCGGCCTGTGCCCACTTCCCGATGAGTAAGGAAATCCAGGCTGGTGTCACTGACACGCTGGGAAGCCTGAAGAGGGGGTAGGGGTTGCTGTATTTTACATCCTTAGCTACTTATCCTGCTCCGCTCTTCTCTTCTGGCCCCTTGGCATGTGAGTCCTGCTCAGTCCAGCTTGCTGGGCTGAATCCCGCGGTGATGCGTAAGGAAGGGGGGTACATTCCCCATTGGTAGGTGGATGGGGGTCTCGGGAGATGTCTATGCTGCAATCAGGACTTGTTATTGCAGTAGGTGTGGACGTACCTAGATCAAAGCTAGCTTGAGGAACAACAGCAGCGTAGTGAACCAGTTGCCCTAGTATGTACGTGGGGTTCTGGGCTGGCAGGGCTAACCTGGGCAGGTGCCAGGGTTTCCCTGCTCTTGTTACTCAAGCTACCTTACGCGTGCTGAATCATGCCCCCAGTGCAGTGTTGACATGGCCAAGTCCAGACAGCATCTGGATTAGCGCAATACACTTGTTAAAGGGGCAGGATGTCGACTCCCCTCTGAATTTGGCCCAGCGGCTGTGGCAGTGGCGGGCCTGTGATCGCCTGGCTCCAGGCTAAAGGCAGGAATGACAGGATTACCAGGCAAAGTCGCAACGTATAATCCATGTTATTTTTCAGCCAACAAAAACTTAATCCCATTATTTCTCTGGATTATATTTTTAAAGCAACCATTCGCTCGCTCAGCGCGGAGTCCTCCACGCTGGATCCCAGGCTGCAGAGTGCGTGGAGCCGGCTTCCCTGGAGGTCTCTGCTCCTCCGGTCCCTGCGGGGGTGGGGGCCCGCGGCATCTGTCTGTGTGCTGCAGACATCGGTTGTGTTTGCGAGCGCTGTGGGGGGGATGGGGCGGAGAGCTGGAGGCAGGCAGCCTCCGAGTGATTTACATGGAAGATGGGGTTGTTCAGCCTTTGGAAAAGCCTTCCCTGTAATGCTGGTGACTCATCAGAGTCTATTAATAGCCCGATCCACCTGCTAAGGTGTGAAACCCGAGGAGAGCCACTGACCTAGTTCTCTGTCCTCTCTGGCTGTCTCTGGGCAGGTTTGATCCATACAGAGCAGGGCTGGGGGCGCCCCGGGGAGTGAGAGACGAGTGCGGTCCGCTGCACGCCGCAGCTAAGCCAGCACAGACGCCGCTTGGCTCTGTAGATCTCTGCCAGATCCTGTGTGATGCTGCGGTCTCGCGAGAGAGACAGGCTGAGGCCCAGGTTCTGCAAGGCCCTCCAGCGTGTGCCTGGCTTGAAGCACATGAGCAGGCTGACTCGAGGCCTAGGACAGTAAGCAGGAGCACTGGTTGAGTGTATCGGTCAATACGTACACACGCCCCTTGTGCGGACATCCAGGAAGCAAAGATTTCCCATCCCTGTGGGGTTGATGCTTCCTCCCTCTGAGGTCCAGGGTTCCCTGCAGGTGTCTTTCAAAAGTAGATCTTTAAACACCGAGGCCCTTTCTGCTGCCTGGACATGAACGATCCTGCCGGCCTCTCCATCAGGGGACGCACTCCCACCCTTCTCAAGCCTGTGGTCTAGTTCTCAAATAAACCGGGGGGGTGGGGGGGGCAGATGCGGAGGTTGGTATAAATTCAGAATAACTCTCTTGGTTTCAGTAGTAGATTTGCCCCAGTGTCAATGAGATTGGAGCTGGGCCCAGAGTATTGGAAAAGCATTTCTCTGCACTGCGCTTTTTTTTCTGCATTTTCAGTCATTTATGATTCTTTTAAAAATAGCTGAACTTTGGGGATCTATACGTATCCGCGGTGTCAGCCCCTTCATGTGACTCCACCGCTCCCCAGTGGAGGCAGGGGGTGGCTGGGGCTGGCACCGAACAGGTGCTCGAACGCTTCGTGGACATGCTTTGTCTTCCCAGCACCTCAGTGTATTGCTGACCTCAGGCTGCTTGAGGCAATTTTTGTAGGTCACCCGAAACCCTGAAATACCCAGGCCTGGGCTGAGCGTTCAGGGTGAAATACAGCTGGGCTGAGGGCCACTGCAAGGCTTAGACACCACTTAGCCCGTCCGTGGTAGTGAAGCACTGCAGCTGTGCGGGCAGAGCTGAGAAAATGGGGCCAGACTGGTTTTTAAATGGGACCACGTGTGTACGTTTAAATTGCATTTGACTCTGAATGGATTAAACTGGGAGGAAATTCCCACGCTCTTCTCTTACTGTCTCCCTGCAGCTGGTTGGTAGGTAGCTGGTATTATCCCCATTTCACAGATGGTGAAACAGAGGGACAGTGCAATCGTGACCTGCCCAAAGCCAGACAGTGAACCAGCAGCAGAACCGGGATTAGACCCCAGGAATTCCTCATTCGCCACCGTTTGCTCAAACCACAAGACTGTGCTGCCTCTCGGATACACGCACAGACTCCCTGCTCTGTTCCCACAGCTGATGCACCAGCATGTTGGGAGCTTGAAAAGCATTCTGGGTACTGGCATGCAAATGAGCACACGGAGGGATCCGTTAAATGGGATCCACTGTGGCATAAATAGAGGGTTCGGAGCAATGCAGCCTCCGTGTTTGTTGCACAAGGATCAGAGTGACGCCCCCGCAGCACCTACTTTTTAGGCAGCCCCCTCTGCGCGTTCTTTCCAGGATTACTTGCTTACGCCCCTGTCTCCCCCCTCTCTCTCCAGAACACCCGGAGCTGCAGGAGAACTGGGCCACCATGAACGGACCCGGGGAGCCGACGCGCCCTTGCGCCCCTTGAGAGAAACGCCCGACCCCGAAGAGGCAACGAGGTCGATGCCAGGACGCTGCTGGTGTTTCTGCTCTGCCAGGGGACTCTGAATGGATTTGCCATGGTGACATGAAAAAGACAGGGGGGATACCCGACTGCCGGCTGGGAGATCCTACACACGCACACGCAGCCTGCTAGTATTTTAATTTATTACTGTGCTTTCCTGTGAAGGGGGTTGAGAGCAGGAGGGGGGGGGCGGGGGTGGGGGGTGGGGAGGAACCTGCAGTGGCTTCTTGGAAGCAAGGATGACCGTGCTGGGGAGGCTCCGGAGGGGTTTCCGACAGGTGTCTCCTCAGGTGGTGCTGCTCCTGCTCTTTGCCTTCTGCCTGCTCAGTGTTTTCATCTCGGCATATTATTTATATGGGTGGAAGAGGGGTCTGGAGCCCTCCGGGGAGGTCCCGGGCCCAGACTGCGATGAACCCAAGATTGCCCCTTCCCGCCTGCTCCCCTTGAAGCCCCTCAAGGTGGCCGATTCATCCCGCACGGACCCCTTGGTGCTGGTGTTCGTGGAAAGCCTGTACTCTCAGCTGGGCCAGGAGATCATTGCCATCTTGGAATCCAGCCGCTTCAAATACCGGACAGAGATTGCCCCCGGGAAGGGGGACATGCCCACCCTGACCGACAAGGATCGGGGACGCTTCGCGCTCATCATTTACGAGAACATCCTCAAGTATGTGAACTTGGACGCCTGGAACCGGGAGCTCTTGGATAAGTACTGCGTGGAGTACGGCGTGGGGGTTGTCGGCTTCTTCAAGGTACACGGGGACCCAGCTCGGGGATGGAACGGGCCATCCGGGGAGACAAAAGGCCAACCAGGCTCTCCGTGTAGGGCAAGGTGGCCAGAGACAAGCTCTTTGGGAGGTATCCAGGGTCTGTTTCTGTGCTGGGTCCCCTGCCTCGCGTAACTGGGAATCTCGGCTGGGGTCCCGTCACATTGCTCTGCAGAGACGAGTCACTGAGGCGTAGTCAATTGATTGGCCGCGGGAGGAGTAAGGTCCAGCCCTGCTAAGCGAGGCAGCTGATGGCAGAGCTCTGAGGGAGAGTGCCTTGCTAAAGGGGTGGGTTAAATAGGTGGAGAAGTAGATGAGGACCTTCTGCGTGACCTAGGATTGACCCATCAAACTGTTCCACTAGCAGAAGTTCTCCCCAGGCCTTACTGGGCCCTGTGCGTTTGTTGTGTGATTAACAGACTCCCAGCTGACCGGAGATCATTGTGGTTTGCTCACAGGAAGGATCACATGAACAGCAGGCCCCTCCGCTCCGGGCATGCTCCATGAGGACTCCTGCTTTGTTTTAGGTGTCGCCCTCAGGGGCCTAATAAACCTTGGGGTGTGCTTTCAATTGGTGCCAAGTGCGGATGAGGGTATGTTGCTGCCATCTTCTCTAGCTCCGTTGGTGACGGCACAGGGAGATGGGATGGTCCCTTGGAGCTGTCTGTCCATTTTCTGATCAGAGAGCTGGGAGAGGTGTCTCCTTTTGGTCTGCAAGGGGGTCACGTATCAAGGACAGGTGCAAAGAGTTAGCCGGGTCTGTCCTGTGATCCTTTGAGTGTTGGAGAGGATCACTCTTGCTTTCTGTCTCTTTGGATTTCAGTCAGCTTGGCCAGGTCATGGGCAGGGGCGGGGAACTTGGCCTTCCCCGTAGAAGGGATGTGCTGTTTCCTTCTGTTCCAGATGTTTGGGAAGCACAGCTGGGTTCCCTGGTGGCCAAGTGGCACTGGGAGCCCTTTTCTGTTCACAGCAAGCTCCGGTTCTGTGGTGCCTCTGATTTTGTGCTCTTCTGTTTGTAACTAGGATTTCCCAGCTTCAGGCAGTGGGGGGAGCTGGACCTGCTGGAGCAAACTGGGCAGAGTCCAGCCGCTTGGACTGAATTTCAGGACATAATAAATCCCTGTGAGCAGACAGAGAACCCAGCCCTCTGCTGCTGGGAACAAGAGGAGCCTCACTTAAGCTAATGCAGATACACCTAGGGTGACCAGATAGTAATTGTGAAAAATCGGGATGGGAGTGGGGGGAATAGGCACCTATATAAGACAAAGCCCCGAATATCGGGACTGTCCCTGTAACATCAGGACATCTGGTCACTCTGGATTCACCTGTTTACAACAGCGAGAATTTGGCCCAGAATTGACCCCCCCCCCCCCGAAGGTCATAAATCAGTAGCTGATGAGACACGTTTTAAGCAGTGACCCCTGAGATGTAGAGATCCTTCACCCAGGAGTGCTGTAAAGCCCCCGGGCCGTTTGGCCGAGCTGTTGCTGGCCAGAGGAGAGGAATGGGAGCAGACGCTAGACAGTGTATTCAGCCTCAGGGCCAGCGGTAGAGGAAACCCCTTGCTGCCTATGAAACCAATAGGCTAAATATAAAATACCAGCCCCGGGGGCTGCTGGCCTGCGTCCGTCGGCGCAGCTGTTTTGGGAGGACTCTGCGGGGCCGGGAGTGCAGGCAGGATGCGGGCGGGCTGGGCCCACCCGTGGAGCGAGGCCATCAGCATTCCAGATGTGCTCCCAGCCCGCGGGGGGGACTCTCCGCTCCCCTCACACGCCCAGTGGCCTCCTGTCGACCCCACCGCCCCTTCGATCGAGGAGCCTTCCCCTGCTGAGCAGCGAGGGCTGTTGTTGAGTGGGATGATTGGCGCCCCGCACCCTAGCAGCAAGGCATGCCCCTTCGTAGCACTCCCAGCCTCTGCTGTCCAAGGAGGCCAGGGCTGGGGGACAAACCAGCCCCGCCCGCCCAGCTGGGCAGAGACACCTCCAGAGCAGCCCTTCAGGCGCGCAGCTATTGGTTTCAGTTAGCAGCTCGTGTGCAGATGTCCGGGCTCCAGACCCCGTGTGGGTGTGAATGGTGTGGAACAGGCAGCCCAGCTGCAGGGCTGAGCTATCCCCAGCGTTCGCAGTCCTCAGATCGGACTGTCCAGGCACTCGGCGAGCTGCGCGCTGGAAAACTCCCCCTGCCGAGATCCCGGCGCGGTAGCGGCTGCTGAATCGGTGGGGTTTATCAAACGCCTCGTCCCGCAGTTCTGCTACCTGCTTTCTCATTGTCTGCTGCTCAGTGTGTCTGACGAGCCAATGGGATCCTATTTGGGATCCTCCATCCACATAGAGAGCGCTAAAACCTGGCAAGGGAGAGAAGCTTAAATGTCGGGGCAATGTGTCTGTACAACAGCCCTCCCCCCTGGAAATCTTCTCTCTGCTCAGAACAGGGGTGTGTGCGCAGGGGTCAGAGTCCAGCAGGCCTGGGAAGTGCAGGGCGCAGCAGGAAGGGGGCTCTCAGTTTTAGGGGTAGGATCAACACTCCAGGTTTGGTGCCCCAGCGGCGTGACAGGCCATGTCGGCCGTGGTGCCTTATTGCAGGAGAGCACCGGGGAATGCAGACGGCAGAATTCACATGTGGCTGGTGGGGGACAGGCCAGCTCCCTCTTTTGCGGAAGAGGAGATGGCACTTGCTGTGTAGCGTGTCACTGCTACTGTGCTCAGAGCCTGTGTGTGTGAATCCAGGGGGTTCCCCAAGTGCTGCTTCTAAGGGGGTTGCTGGGAAGCAGCTTGTGATGTGCTGCCTTTCCTGTGTCCCCAGCTTGTGTTCCTTCAGCTTGTCCTGCCCGCCCCCTCTGGATCTGACCAAACCGTCCCCCCACCCTCCCGTCGGCCCTGCATTGCTGCCTCTACCTGTCCAGCTGATGCAGTCTGGGTACGACTTGCTTCTGAGCACAGCGGTGGCCTGGATCAGCCAGAGGGGAGCGTGGGGGAACGGCACGCAGGGTGCTGCATGGGAGGCATGGGGATGTGAGTTGCACACTTTTAAATGCCATGGTGCAGCCTTCCCCTCTCCTCTCCCTCTGAGGCCTTTCTCATTCAGTCCGCGGGCTCTCCCCTGGCAGGCCAACGAGAACAGTTTGCTGAGTGCTCAGCTGAAGGGCTTCCCACTCTTTCTCCACTCCAACCTCGGGCTGAAGGACTGCAGCATCAACCCCAAATCCCCGCTCCTGTACATCACGCGCCCCAGCGAGGTGGAGAAGGGTCTGCTTCCAGGAGAGGACTGGACCGTCTTCCAGTCCAACCATTCCACCTACGAGCCGGTACTCCTGGCCAAGACCAAGTCAGCAGAGTCCATCCCGCACATGAGCGTCGATGCTGCGCTGCACACCACCGTGGTGCAGGACCTGGGCCTGCACGACGGCATCCAGAGAGTCCTCTTCGGGAACAACCTCAACTTCTGGCTGCACAAGCTGGTCTTCGTGGATGCCGTCTCCTTCCTGACCGGCAAGAGGCTCTCCCTTCCCCTCGACCGCTACCTCCTGGTGGACATCGATGACATCTTCGTGGGCAAGGAGGGCACTCGCATGAAGGTCGAAGACGTAAAGGTACCACTGTCCCAGCTCAGCCAGCCAGTGCTCTTGGGGCGGGATTCTGATGTGACTAGGGATCCCTGGCCTTAGTGCACTTGGGCACAGATCCCATTGTGCTCGGAGCAAGGGCTGGGGGTGTGTCTGGGACGCTGGTGCATGGACCTCATTGTGCATGGAGCAAGGGCTGGGGGGTGTCTGGGACGGTGGTGCACAAATCCCATTCTTCTCGGAGCAAGGGCTGGGGGTGTGTCTGGGATGCTGGTGCACAGAGCAAGGGCTGGGGGTGTGTCTGGGGCACTGGTGCATGGAGCAAGGGCTGGGGGTGTGTCTGGGATGCTGGTGCACGAGCTCGGCGCAAGGGCTGGGGGTGTGTCTGGGATGCTGGTGCACAAATCCCATTCTGTTTGGAGCAAGGGCTGGGGGTGTGTCTGGGATGCTGGTGCATGAGCTCGGAGCAAGGGCTGGGGGTGTGTCTAGGACGCTGGTGCACGATTTGTGGCCCTAGTGAACTGACATGTAGGCTCTAGTGCCCTCAGAGCATCAGCTGAGGGTGTGAGCCCTTCCACGGGAGTGCTGTTGCTAGAGTACACGAAGCAGAAGTCTCACGCGTGACTCCCGACCCCAGTGCGCTGAAGGTGCGGGTTACTGCGTGATGATGTGTGTCGGGTACCAATGATGTCTCTCTCCCCACACCACAGGCTCTGTTTGACACTCAGAATGAACTGCGCACCCACATCCCCAACTTCACCTTCAACCTGGGCTACTCAGGGAAATTCTTCCACACAGGTGAGGCAGGGCAGCTTTGCCTCCATAGGCCCTCGCTGGCCCTCTCCATTTCGGAGCTTGCTGAGCTGCGGTATCTATCCTGCGCAGCTTAAAACCCCCTCCGCCCCCGGCCGTCCGGGACTATGGAGACGGCAGCTGTAGAATGCCCCTTCCCAGAGCACTCTCTGTCTCAGAGATGCAGGCCTCTGCAGTGTTGTATCATGGGAGGAGCTTGAGAGAAGGGGCTCTGCCCCTTTAGTCTCTCCTCTGGAAAACCAAACGAGGAGAACTTGAGGCATTAGCTGGCAAAGGCGTTCGCTGGGCTTGGCCAATAAGAATCCCTAGGGCTGCTCTGGTGTTGTCGAGCCGCGGATGGCAGAGTACTTCCCACCATTAGCCCCGTTTTACAGCCCGAGAGACAGCAAGTACCTTGGCCAGTGGCAGGGTGAGAAGCCAGGCCCCCCCCCGCTGGGCTCGGGCTCTCTTGCCTTCTTGGCACTTCTGGCACGTGTCTCGCTGAATTGCTGAGGTTACAGGCCGTGTGAGTACAGTCGCAGAGTCACCATGTTCAGCAGTAGTTTCCCCTGGGCAGCGGGCAGCTGAACGTGAAACCTAAACAGAGGCTTCGATAGAGGCTTGAACCTGTTAACAGTATCCCATCTTCAGCAATGTAACAATATGAAGCCGATCCATCTTGGGGGGCTGGGGATTCGTGCTCCGCTCTAGTGGCTTATGCCATCCATCAGGACCTTCCGAGCTACTGGGTGACTGAAGAGCCAGATTTCTCCCTGCTCTAAGAGGCAGGGCTAGCAAAGGTGGCCAAGCCCCAAACACACCTTTGGTCACTGGTAAAGATAAGGATCCACTCCAGAATGACAGCAGTGCCCCTGGGGTTCTTGCGCGGCTGCTCATTTCCACTGGTCCTCCAGGGGTCCGAGCGGCAGCAGAGAGCACATGTGAGGCAGTGTAAGGTCCTGTCTCTGAGCTTTTCGCTGCCTGTTGGATTTCGAGACACCCCCCCCCCCCCCCGCGATCCCGTACCCCACCTGAGCCGGGCATTCAGGCTCTCGCGTGAGCCGGGCTTGAGTTCTTTGGCTTCAGCGCGGGTGGGCGGCTGCTGCTGACGGCGGTCTGGCCCCGGCAGGCACGGACGCTGAAGACGAAGGAGACGACCTGTTGCTGTCTTACGTGAAGGAGTTCTGGTGGTTCCCACACATGTGGAGTCACATGCAGCCTCACCTCTTCCACAACCAGTCGGTGCTAGCGGAGCAAATGACCATGAACAAGAAATTCGCTGTCGTGAGTAAGATGCCAGCTGGGGGGGATGCTTGCTGGGCTAGGGAGTTAAAGATGGCATCTTAAACCCTCTCCCCACCCAGTCTTGTGCCTCTCCTCCTGCCTTCTCAGACTGAGCTCTCATCCTGTGGGGAGCAGGAGGAAGAACGCTGCATAAGAGCAGCAGGAGTTTGCTACGTCATCTCTCTCTCCCCCAGTTTTCACCCCCTGCCCTGCCCCTTCATCCATCCTGCTGTGTCTGTGTCTCTGCAGTGAAACCTCATGAGGACGCTCTCAGCACTGAATCCTCTGGAACCTCTTTAAAAGACCCCCAAGTGTCTTTGAATAAAGTTTTGTTTGACCTTTAGTTCTCCATCTCCTACCAGAAATGCAGTTTAACTGGCTCCCTAGGCGGGACGCTAAGATAGGTTTCCTCGTACTTCTCTATCTCTCTGTTCCTGCGTTGGAGGCTGAGTAGCAGCAGGAAGAGACTAAAAAGATCAGGTCAAAGATGATCTGAAACGTGAGTGGCCTCAGGAAGGCTGCCCCTGTGTTTTTTAACCCCATACATAACTATCATGTGGCAGAGAGTTCCACAGGTGCTTACTTAAGCCAAAGGATGTGTCTGCAGACAAGTTGTACTACTTTAACTATGCCAGTATAGTTACACCAGAATAAACCCCGGCCCAGTGTGGACGCATTGATATTGATATAAAGGTGCCTTGTACCAGTATAGCTAATTTCCAGGGAACAAGCCATATTGCCTGGTGTAAGCACTTTTTATACTGGTATAACTGCATCTACAGTATGGACGGGGAGACACACACTCACACTCACACTCACACACACTGATACCGATACAAAACTGTGTAGGTGCTTCCTACAGCGGTGAAAGGGGTTTTTCCTTCCCTGCAGTAAATCCACCCCGTCAAGAGGCGGTTGAGGGCTGAATTCTTCCGTTGCCCTCGCTGTGTCTACAGCGGGGGTTAGGTCGACCGAACCATGTTGCACAAGGCCGACATTTTTCCCACCCTGAGCGAGGCAGTTAGGTGGATCTAAATGTGAAGTATAGCCCTGGCCCAGGGCTAAGGCAAAGGGTTTGTCTTCACTAGGGTTTTAACTGGAGTTAATGAACTGGAGGCAGCTACCACGTTGGCAAAGGCTTCTCAGGACCCGCCCCAAATGTTTGTTCCAGACTACAAACACTGGTGCTTGATTGCCAGGAACAAATGTGTGGAATGTCCAGAGTCTCTAATCCAACGGGTTCGCTACGGCCAGTGAACAGGAAATCACGTGGGAAGTCTAGTGTAGACACAGCCACGGGCCTTGTCTTCCCTAGGTGAAAGGATACGCTCTTCCCTTGAGGGCACTAACACCAGGTACAAGCCCAGTGAAGACAAGGCAGGCTGTTGTGTTCAGGTGAGTTAGTCTTTATCTTGACCTGGGAGCTGGGGGTTTATCTCGACCTGCTAATTCAGATGAAAACGACAACCTGCCAGGCCTTCGCTAGGCTTTTACCTTGTGTTAGTTAACTCAGCTTAGCAATCCACCTTTTTTCCATCTGCAGAGGCTGGTAGAATTAAAAAGCTGATTACTCAGGTTACATGAATAATAAGGTTCTCTCCCCCCCCTCCCCCCAAGGTGGTATGATCTGGGAAAAGCCTGTCTATGCATCCTCAGGCTTCAGGGCATCAGCCACCCACTAAGGGTACATCTGCACAGCAAAAGGGTGAGCGAACTCGGGTTAAAACATAGCAACTCAGCTTTTAACTTGGGTTAGCAGCTTGACTTCAAGCCTAGAGGGGAGCCAGCAATAGCCAGGTGTACTCTGGGTATTTTATATCTTCCTCTGGAGCATCTGGCCACTGTCACAGACAGGATCCTGGGCTAGATGGAGCATGGGTCTGATCCAGTCTGGTAGTGCCTGTGTTCTGTGTTTGGAGAGAACTTCTGCAACCTATAAAACATCGACACCCTTTTGTGCTGGTGGAGGGAGGCGTGTGGTGAGAAGCGACAAATAACATTGGGGGTGGAGGTGTATTAACTCCCCACATACAAAGGGTTCTAAAGTTTCCAGTGGCCCATTGTGTTAACACGCTAGCCTTTCTGCTTCTGCCGTTCTGGATCCGAACTAAGGCTGGTCACACTGGTTCTGATAACTAGCAAACCACCTCTCATGCCTCAGCTGAACCTGAACCTTGTGCCAAAACCCAAGGGGGTCAGCTAAGCACTGTGCTCTCCCACCCAACGGGAGTTTTGCCTGTCACTGTTCCAGCCCAGCTTGGATCATCAGTGCGATGACTTGGCAGCCCCAGCCTGGGGGATACTTGTCGCATTGCTCAGTGTGGCCCAGCTGACAGCCTTGGAGTAGCAGGGCATGACTGAGGTGCATTGGCAGGGCCATGTATGGTCGGACCATGCAGTGCCTCCCTGCAGCGTACCTGGCTCTCGCTGGGGCTGGCTCTCCCCTTCATGGATACTCATCTCCACCTTTCTGGACAAAGCAAGGAACTCAGTGGACCATGCTCCCCAGGCGCTAGAATTGAGAATTCGGCCTCTCTTCCTTGCTAACCTAACCCTATTAAAGCAAAACCCGGAGTGATGCATCTGTCCATGGAAGAGCGCCGCTGAGCCCCGTTAGGTTTCCTTTGGGTCGTTTGTAGCTCACCAATTCTGTAGCTTAACGCAGTCACCTTCCCTCTCCTCTCCCATCAGGAGCATGGCATCCCCACCGACATGGGGTACGCCGTGGCACCCCACCACTCCGGCGTGTACCCCGTCCACGTGCAGCTGTACGAAGCGTGGAAGCAGGTTTGGGCGATCAAAGTCACGAGCACGGAGGAGTATCCTCACCTGAAACCAGCCCGCTACCGCCGGGGCTTTGTCCACAATGGGATCATGGTAGGTGAAGCGGGGCATTGGGGCTATTCCTTGGGCCCCTCCCTGCCCTAAACCTCCCACAATCAGCTGGGCTGCCAGCACGGCTGGCTCAGAGGATTCCCGCTAAGACATGGAACTCTACGCCACTAAGTCACCGGTTTGAACGTTGCCTAGCAGAGACTCTCAGCTGTGAGCATCTCTTTGGGCTGCATGAAATGGGATTGCTGCATCTCAGCCCCAGCCTAATCCATGGCCACTGTCACAAAGCACTCCCTCCATGGCTGTTTCAGCACCGAGGCCGGTGCAGGTGGATTTGGCAGGGTGGGCTAAATGGACCGGTGTGGCTCAGTCAGCAGGAGAAACAAGTCCCACCTGACTGCTGCGGACCGAGTCACCTCTGCAGTGTCCCCAGCATCCTGCTAGGTGTGGCGGCAGCGGCTGCTGCTGCTAAGTCCCTTTGCTACAGAGCCGCCCTTTCTTTCGGGAGATCATGGTCATGATTTCCCAGCATCCCTGGAAGATCGAGGGGTATCGATCCCAAAAGATCTCCCCGGAAATATGTGCGTGTGTGGTTCAGAGATCAGGAGAATTTCCCCCTCCCCAAAGGGGGCTGGAGCAGCCCAGCTCCATCCCTCCTGAGTAGAAGAATCTCGTCGGGGGGTTCCCAGGTGATGTTGAGGCCAGTGCTAATACCTGGCAGGTTGACCCCGGCGGATGTTCCCTTAGTTTGGCATGGTGAGGAAGGAGCACCGGAGCTGGATTTCTGGAGCAGGCTGCACGATTCCTTCCTGCTCTGACTCCTCTCTGCCCCCAGGTACTCCCGCGGCAGACCTGTGGCTTGTTCACGCACACCATCTTCTATAACGAATACCCTGGCGGCTCCAGTGAACTGGACAAGATCATCAATGGAGGGGAGCTGTTCCTGACTGTGCTACTTAACCCTGTGAGTGCTGCCCTCCGAGTACTCTGCAGGGCTTGGAACGGCCCCTTGGCGCACTCGGGCTGTCCCCTCGGCTGGGGTAGATGAGTTTCCCTGTGACTCCAATGGCCAGGGGCTCTCAGCCTGTGGTCGAGGAGGATGGGCAGGATCTCCTCCAAGAGCCTAGTATGTTGGCCCTCGAATTGGGCTGGCCACAGAGTGATGTAAAGGCTGCCTCTGCAGCATTCCCAGACACTCCTGGTCTCAAAAGCGAGAGTCAGAGACCAGACAGAGTCCAAGTCTCCTGCATGCCTTTTCCTCCCCAAATTGGGGGGCTCAGGTCCATCCGTAACTGACCCTGCTTGGGCTGGCAGCAGGGTCTGACCCAGGGACGTTCAGTACTAAAAGCACGAAATGCTGCTGCTTGAGCTAAGGCTGGTAGCTGTGATGTGAAGCAGCCACGAGAGGGGGACAGAGACCCTTGCTCTCCTAATGGATGTGTTACACGTCCCGCGACTTTTTCATCTGCACCAGTCCCGGTTTGTTCCTCCCAGTTCAGAGCTGGGCCCAGGACTCCCCAGTGTTGAGAGCCGCACCAAAGTGCAAACTACAGTTGCCCTGAGATGGACTCAGAGCGCTGACTAACGCCTGTCCTGTCCTCTTGCTGCTCCATTCCAGATCAGTATCTTCATGACCCACCTGTCCAATTACGGCAACGACCGCCTGGGTTTGTACACCTTCAAACACCTGGTCCGCTTCCTCGGCTCCTGGACCAACCTGAAGCTGCAGACGCTGCCGCCCATGCAGCTGGCGCAGAAATACTTCCAGATCTTCTCCGAGGAGAAGGACCCACTGTGGCAGGTACAGAGTTCCACTGCCAGGCTGTCTGGCTTGAATGGGGGACAGGAGGCCCAGGCCTGCCAGGGAATTGGGGACCGCACCAGGCGCAAACAGGGCTGGATTTGGTTCTATTGTGAGTGAATTTGGCAAGGTTCTGCTCACCTACTGCCTTCCTCCTAGGACAAGACACCGTCCTGCTCATGACCATATCCCTGTCCCAGGGCTCACAACATGGGTGCAGAAAAGGGGCTGTGATAGTAACACTCAGATTCTACGTATCCACGGAGCTCAAAGCTCTTTACAAAGGAGGGTAACCCCATTTTACGGCAGGGAAACTGAGGCATAGAGCAGGGAAGTCACTCGACCAAGGTCACCCAGCAGGTCAGTGGCAGAGATGGGAGTAGAGGCCAGAACTCCTGACTCCTAGTCCAATGCCCTACCTGCTGGACAACGCTTGCCGGCTTGTTAGCTGTAGGGGTTTCAGCTCCGTGCTGACCTTCCAGCAGCCTCTGGCTCTCCCTTCTCATTACAGCCTGGGCACCCATCATCAGTGTGAACAGGTAGTCTTCACTGTATTTATTAAAGGCATATGGGGCATCGAGGCCTCTCCTCCCAGACGCCCCCAGGTTGCACTTCCTCAATCCTCTTACTCCTGTGTTTCAGGATCCCTGTGAGGACAAGCGGCATAAGGACATTTGGTCCAAAGAAAAGACATGTGACCGGTTCCCAAAGCTTCTCATCATCGGACCTCAGAAAACAGGTACGCCAGTTCCCCTCCATCGAGCTGCGCAGCTCAGAACCAGTGAAAGACAACGCAGCCGATACCAGCACGCGCATCGCCGTTTCAGCTGTGCTATCGCACCAGTTGTGTCATTTCTCTTTATTCGGGGGATTGTCTGGTTCTCCATCCGGTGCCTCCCTGCATTCTGCCTACCAGGGCAGATCTGAGCTGGTATTGTTCCTCTAGCTGGGTCCTAGAACCTCCATCTCTTCCTTGGAGGTCGGCAAACCCTACCTATGCCGGGCTGGAGTGGGAACCTGAACTGGATGCCCCGAACGGCCATGCATGGGGCAGCCTGAGGCAAAGAAGGGAGGGAACGTTGTCTGGTTCGCTAAGGCGCAGGGTGGTCGCTGCTGTGCCCCCAACCTCGGCTCTGCTTCCTTTCCATTTAAAGGGACGACAGCCCTCTATCTGTTCCTGGGGATGCACCCGGACCTGAGCAGCAACTACCCCAGCTCGGAGACTTTTGAGGAGATCCAGTTCTTCAACGGACACAATTATCACAAGGGCATTGACTGGTAGGCCTTCTTTCATGCTACCCCGCGCCGGGGTCCCCGGGTGTACTGTGGGTGGGGGAAGCTGCAAGCTTAGCGAAGAGCTGTGCATGGGGTTTGCCATGTGACTCCGGCTCCTGGGACCAACATGTGAGGGCAGGAGTCCAGAATTCCCCTAGCAGACTGTCCGTTGCCACTAGACACCTAGTCAGTAAGGTGACTAGATGCTGAGCAAAGAAAGTGCCTGTCTAGATCCCTCTGCAGAGCATCTTAACAAACACGCCCAGTTATCCGTGTAGGCTGGGCCTGCTGCCGGCACGTACTCGAACCTCTGCCCGCTTCTGAATCGTGCAGTGGCCAGTGAGTGGTGGAAGAGGGCATGCCCGGTGCCAAGATACCATCACAGAGGGCAGTTAAACTGCGTTTTATGGCCGGACCCCTTCCAGGGAGCCCTCGTTCCATTGTGTGAGGCTCCGAGCTGCACTTGGCGGGGGGGCTGATCTACACATGTACAGTAGAGCCCCGGGTCCTGGTCGCAGCACACTTGTCCCCTGAACCAGTTCCATCAGTGTTCCGATCTGTAGTGTAGACAGGATCTTCCCCACATGCTGGAGCCGGAGCCCTAGGCTGCTGGTGGTCAGACATGAGGTGGCTGTTCGGGGCAGCTGCGGGAGGTGATCGGTAGCGTGTGCTGGATCCTGACTATAGAACGCTTGATATACAGTAGTTGGCCTCCATTGTCTCCAGGGCAGGGGGCCAGGTGTATTTCTCTGTCGCCCTCCCCGGGTGCCCTCTCTTCCCCCGCCTCATGCAGCGACCTCCCTGCAGGTACATGGAATTCTTCCCCATCCCCTCCAACACCACCTCCGACTTCTACTTCGAGAAGAGCGCCAATTACTTTGACTCGGAAACGGCCCCCAGGCGGGCGGCCGCGCTGCTCTCCAAGGCCAAGGTCATCACCATCCTCATCAACCCTGCAGACCGGGCCTACTCCTGGTACCAGGTGAGCTGCTCGGCTGTCACCGCTTCTCCCAAGGCGGCTCCTTATGCTCCAGCTTGGGGTTGACTCGGGCCGGGGCGCGGCATTGTGCGCAGAGCGAACGGAGAATCTGCTGTCCCGTGCTGGGTCAGGCACGCTCTGCACTGTCCTGCGGGATGGCCGTGGGTTGGCAGCCATGGCAGGGGTCCTGGCCTGCACCGGAAGAGATGGGCGTCCTCAGGCCAATGCCCGAGGAAGAGGTGATCCGATGCTGTGTTGAGTTAGGTGTGGGATGGCGTAAGCTGTTACCTACAGAACAGGGTGTGGTGTACGCAGTGTATCCCACCATTCTGTGCAAAGCAGCAAGCTAGACGCTGGTAGCCCAGTGACTGCACTGGCACTCAGAAACCTCCCAGGAGCTCACACGCAGCCTTGGACTCAGATCCCGGTAGCACTGGCCACGCCACTGGGGTTTTGTTGTGCTGCCTGAGAAACTAAACCGGTTTGCTGTTGTTAACAGCACCAGCGAGCTCACGATGATCCAGTCGCTCTGAAATTCACCTTCCACGAGGTGATCACAGCTGGGCCTGAGGCTTCTCAGAAGCTCCGGACGCTACAGAGCCGCTGCCTGGTACCGGGCTGGTACGCCACCCACATTGAGCGCTGGCTGAACAGCTATCATGCCAACCAGGTAGGAAGGACAAAAACCGGGCGGTGTTCTTATTGCAAACAGCAGTGCGGAGAGCACTCCCTCTGTGGGGGGGGAGAAAACAGCCATACACCGCTTGGGCATAGAGTCCATTGTCAAAGCGCTACCGTGGGATTCATGGACCATGAATAACGTCCTCTCTCTACCCAGCCCTGCTTAGGGGAAGCTGTGGTCCGGAACTCAGCGTAACAGGATGTCTTTGGAACCTGTGACTGTTTATGGCCCAGAGCACAAAACCATCCTCTTCGCCCAACTCCCAGTTTCCATGGTTGTTTCTCAGATTGTGGGGGTGGAGTTGACAGGGAATTTATTAGTCTCTTCTCCTCTCATATCCATTGCGTTGGAGCAGGGGTGTGTGTTTGTGCAATGGGGGTGTGAGCGCATAAGTGTGCAGAGAGGTGTCAACCCATCAGAGACACATCTGGCTCCAGGAGCTCGGCCTTCAGTCCCACTTTTGAGCTCTGACAGTCGGAAAGGGATTAAAAGACTGGAATTATGTCACAGAAAATGGATTTCTGAAACTTGTCCAGAGCAGGAAGGAACCAGAGTCAGTGTGGTCATGGGAGGGTGATGATTATGTACCACTGGTGGACTATTATGCCAGGCTGCCAAGTGTGTACCGTATGCTATGCCAAACAAACTGCAGGGCTCCCTTTTAAAGAGCTTCTAACCAAAGGGCATAGAGAGTACACCACAATACAGAAGAAGTGCACAGCAGAATGTATGGTGTTGAAAGTTTTATGGGACTGTTTCATGTCCTTGAATGCTCTTCAAACACTTTCTGGCTGTGACTGCAGCATCAAAGTGCATGACAAAAATAACACAAGCTCTGTACTTCATAGCGCTCTCTGTAGCGGATTTATCCCTTGTGATCGGGCAGCTCTCGATGCAGTTACAGCACACTGGTCACCCTACCATCTCTGCACCACGTACAAGAGTTAGTGGTTCTGGAAAGGATGTGTTGGCACACCACTGTACACTTGATGTGCCCGTGCAAACGGAGGATTTGTGCGTGCACACGGCTAGTTGGGCACCTAAATGACCATGTGCGTGCACGTTTTATGCTCTTAACTTGGACACCTGCAGTTGTAAATGTGCAGGTCTGTGCGCACAAGTGTGAGAATTTGGGCCAGATTCTGGTTCGCCGTCGGTGGGGTTGTGGCCCTGATGTTTCTGTTCTTCAGAGAAAAGTGTCTGGCCTGAAAGTCACTGCGGTTGAAAGAGCTCATGCAGATTTGTGCCTCGCCTTGTGTGCTAAAGGAGGAAAGCCATGAATTCCTCCTGCAGCAGGGAGCTCTGTAGGTGGGCACTCTTCATTGACGGTGCCTTGTCCTCAGCTGCATCAGTGCTGCTGACAGGGGTATTCCAGGAGTGGGACAGAGAGGGGCCATCTGAGCGGTAGTTCGCTCCTAGCTCACTGAAGGCTCTGAATGGAGAATCAGCATCGCGCTTGGTGAACTGGTGTGACGTGTTTCACCTGCCGCATATTCAGCCACCGGCAGCTTCCATGGCCAGGCTAGCGCTGAGGAAAGTGGAGTCAGTTGCAGGGGAGAGAGGAAGGATTGTGTCTAGTGGTTAGGGTGGTAGTCTGGGGCTGGAGAAGCCTGGGTTGAATTCTCTGCTCTGCCACAGACGCCCCGTGTGACCTTGAGCAAATCACTTTGCCTCTCTGTGCTTCAGCTCCCCATCTGTAACATGAAGGGGAGGAGGGGGCAGAAATAGCCCTGTCCCACCTGTCAGGGGCATTGAGGGTAAAGATGGTGGGGTGCTCGGACACTGGGGGGCTATAGAAGTACCTAAGGCAGATTGTAGCAGCCCAAGGCATCTGTCTGTTCTCGGGGGCGGGGACGGATCCAATTTGAAGCCAGCATGGAGCTGGTACAAGACTAGACCCCCCCCCTCCCCCAGCTCTCTTTTTATTCTTGCAGATCCTTGTTCTGGATGGCAAGCTGCTCCGAACAGAACCAGCCAAAGTGATGGATACAGTCCAGAAGTTCCTTGGCGTGACGAACTTCATCGATTACCATAAAACCCTGGCGTGAGTCCTCCTCTTACCCACCTCTTCCTCCTTCAGCCGGCGTGGCCCTCAGGGCTGCGGCCTGTCATTCCAAGCACTGGGCTTTCTCTCCCTTTCCCCGTGGCAGGTTTCCCATCAAGGGGATGTTTTGGGAATGCGAGTGGAGCCGGATAAGCACCACGGTAGAGAGGAAATCCTGGCCCCACTGACATCAACAACAAAGCTTCCATTGATTTCAGTGGGGCAAGATTTTGCCCCAGGACTCAAAGCCATATTTGCTTGGGACCAGAACCAGCACCTGAGCCTCCTTCCATGGAGGCTTGGATGGCTTTTCTGAACACGGTTCCTGAGACACTAGTACTGCAGCTTTGTGAGCGCCCTCCCTGCAGGCCAGAAGCTTGCAGCAGAGGAAGGGAAGTCGGCTCCTTCCTTGCCAAGATGCTGGACGTCTGTTTGCGCTTCTTGTTTGTGACCTCGACAGAGGGTCTGTCATTCTCCGTTTGGCCAGTGCAGTATTTAGCACTGGAAATACAGCAATGCAATAGAAACCACTGTTGGCAGAAGAACCATCTGTGACCATCCGGACCCATGCACAAGTTCTAGACACACAAACTGAGCAGTTCGCTGCCTGCACCAGGGCCAGAAATGGGGTAGGGAGGCGGTTTGGTGGATCACACTGAAGTTGCATCTGGCAACTTGCCTTGTACCAAAGGGAATGCTTGGTAGGGTTGGGTTATTATTGTCTTTTCCCTCCTCTGCTGCTTAGAATCGACAGAATATTCCTCCCCAGCTTATGACAGCTTTTTTTAAAAATATATTTTTCTTAGGAGAGCCCTTCATTAAGAGTTTAAGAAATTAAAACACGCCATTACAAACATAAGGGTACGTCTTCACTACCCGCCAGATCGGCGGGTAGCGATCGATCTATCGGGGATCGATTTTATCGCGTCTCGTCTAGACGCAATAAATCGATCCCCGAACGCGCTCCCCGTCGACTCTGGAACTCCACCAGGGCGAGAGGCGGAAGCGGAGTCGACGGGGGAACCGCGGCCGTCGATCCCGCGCCGTGAGGACGGGAGGTAAGTCGATCTAAGATACGCCGACTTCTCTCTAAGTCAATCTAAGATACGTCGCTATTCTCGTAGCTGAAGTTGTGTATCTTCGATCGATCCCCTCCCCCCCCCCCCACCAGGCCTTTGTTACCATGGGCAATGCTCCTGTAAAAATCTATACTTAACCCCAGGCCTGGCTTGCTGTCTACACAAACTGCTGTGTCCTGTAAAGCGCTGTGAAACATTACAAAACCAAGTGCAGTGACGGTCTGCAAGAAGGATGAGGCTTCCCCTTGATTGCCAGAAGCTGAGAATGGGCGACAGGGGTGGATCACTTGATGATGACCTGTTCTGTTCATTCCCTCTGGGGCACCTGGAATTGGCCACTGTCAGAAGACAGGATACTGGGCTAGATGGACCCTTGGTCTAACCCAGTATGGCCGTTCTTATGCCAGCATCTCACAGAATCCTAGAAATGTAGGGTTGGAAGGGATCTCAAGAGGTCATTTAGGCCAATCCCACACACATCTGACAGGTGTTTGTTCAATCTGTTCTTAGAAACCTCCAGTGATGGAGATTCCATACCCTCCCTTGGTAACCTATTCTAGTACTTAACTATCCTTATCGTTAGAAAGTTTTTGTTTTTTTTTTAAATATCTAACCCAAATCTCCCTTGCTGCAAACTAAGCCGATTACTTCTCCGTGTCCACTGAAGATAGGACAAGAACAATCATTCAACGTCCTCTGTATAAACTACCTTTTACATATTTGGAGACATATTCATGTGCCCCCACAGCCTTCTCTTCTAAAGGCTAAACATGCCTAATTCTTTCAATCTTTCCTCCTAGGTCAGGTTTTCTAAACCTCTTATCATTTTTGTTGCGCTCCTTTGGACGCTCTCCAGTTTGTCCATATCTTTCTTAAAGTGTGGTGCCCAGAATGGGATGCTATATACCAGCGGAGGCCTCATCCGTGCTGAATAGAGCAGGACAATTACCTTCCATGTCTTACATATGAAACTCCTATTAATACAGCCCTGAGCGGCATCTGCCTTTTTTGCCGCAGTATCACACAGTTGACTCGTATTCAATTTGTGACCCACTGTAGCCCCCAGATCCTTTTCAGCAGCACTGCTGCCTAGCCGGTTATTCCCCATTTTGTAGCTGTGCATTTGATTTTTTTTTTTTTTCTTTTCTTATCTGTAGTACTTTACACTTGTCTTTATTGAATTTCATCTGGTTGATTTGAGACCAATTCTCCAATTTGTCATGGTCATTTTGAATTCTGATCCTGGGCTCCAAAGTGCTTGCAACCCCTCCCAGCTTGGTGTCATCTGCAGATTCTATAAGCACGCTCTGCACTCCATTATCCAAGTCATCAATGAATGCATTGATAGTACCAGACCCATGTCCTGGAGAGCTGTCCATCCCTGAGGATCTTGGAACAAAGCCGTTTCATGGGCATGTTTCGATAACTGTTGCTGACTTCTCTCCTCTTGTAGGTTTGATCCAAAGAAAGGATTCTGGTGCCAACTGCTGGAGGGAGGGAAAACCAAGTGCTTGGGGAAAAGCAAAGGGAGGAAATACCCAGAGATGGATTCAGATGTAAGTATGGGAAACCTCGCATGATCGCCACTAAATGAGCCTTGCTTTTGCTATTTTTGCTGCTACTGAGGACCACAGTTTCCCAGCAACAGTAGAACACCTGTGTGTCTCAGCAGAACACCGGATGGGGGGGAGGGCGTGCACGTCAGAGTGCACTAGAAAACTGCATTTACATGCGTGAGTCTGGTTTGGTACTGAGCACGCAAGGGCGGGGTTGGTGGGTGGATGGTGAAAAGCTGGTCTGGTTCACATCCCAGAGCGCTGGAGCACTCTAATACATTGACTGCAGCAAGTTCCTGGCACACGCTAATGATTACCATTAATGATGATCTCTGTCCTCTCTTACTGTTGCAGTCACGAGCCTTCCTGAGGGATTATTACCGGGACCACAATATAGAGCTGTCCAAGCTGCTGTACAAAATGGGTCAGACGTTGCCAACCTGGCTGCGGGAGGAACTCCAGAACGCTAGGTAGCTGCTGCTATCATCGCCTTACTGAGCAATAGTGACGCGAGCCCACGAAGAAGATCCCAAATCTAACACCGAGCCAAACAGACAGGAGCGGGAAGGAAAGGCCACCAGGGAAAAGCATTTCTGAGCAATATTCAGCCAAGGTCTTTGAGCGAGAACCCATGTGGTGATCAGTATGGCGTACGGGAGCAAACTGTCTCTTCTGAGGGCCCTTAAAGTTGTGTGACTGCCTGACTCTGCAAACCCAGTGCAAATTCCCCAAGAGCTGTTGTCTTCTGAGGTCTATGTCAATGAGGTCACTTCCTGGGTTGTGATGTCATTTCCTGATGAGGGGGGGATTCCCCAAAGATTCCCTGCTTCTCCATACCTGGATGGGGTTAACTTCTCCATGTCTAAGATAGTATTACAGCAACTCTGAGACTCTCCTCATCAGATAATGGAGCTGAGCACCCTTCCAAGATGTGGACAACTCTTTGCAAAGCTGGCTTGGAGAACAGGAGCACGATGTGCTGTTTGAGGTCAGAGGCACAAAGGGGCTGGCCAGAAACACCGACCCAAGTCTGCAATCAAGTTTCAAACAAAGTGAAGTGAGACAGCATAAAAGAATGGGGTGTCCTGGGTTCCCACAAGACCTAGCGCTAAGCACTGGAAGAGGTCTGTGGATTTTTTTAAAGACGACTTTAAGACTTGGCAATGTTTAGTTTGTCACCAATGAATTCTCCCCCTCCCCCCAGCCTTTTATTTTATTGTATTGAAGGGTGGGAGCTTGACAGATGACTATCTGTCTCATCTGGTAAGAGAACTGAACTGAGAACTGGTTCCAGAGTGGTTACAAAGGAAAACTCTGCCCCCTGCCCCCCTTCCTGTGTGGCAACGTTTTATATACGTGGTGTTTTCTGTGGTAAAAGACTGAGGTTGTCCAGTAGCCTGCTCACTGGAACGTGCTTCGATATACGAGCCACCAGCTCAGAAGGGGGCAGACGTCGGGCAGGGCAGACGTTGGACTAACAGCGGCCGAAAGGATTCTGAGCACGTTGGACCTCTTGGATACTAAAAGCTAAAGTATTTTAATAATTTTGTTCTGTTTTTCTGGTGCCACAAGTTTGTACCTGAGATATTACGGTTTTATTTTGTCTCGTTCACTGTTACACGTGAAGGTGGGCAGCCGGTGCGGTTGGCTGGTCTATCTACTGACCAGTGATGAACAATTCTTTTTCTAATGACGGGATAAGTACCTTGCTGCTCCATCTCTGTCTCTCTCTCAGTTCTATTCACTGCCAGTGTTTCAGTATTGAGGTTTCCTGCGAGTTTCTGCCCCCAACTGTCCCGGCGTGTGTGGGGCCGGTAGCAATGCTAACCAAGAACGGTTGCCATTGGTTCCTGGGCGAAGGCCCTGGATCCCTAAGCAGGCTGGTGTATCGCTCACTTAGGAATGGAGGTGGCCCAGGGTCAGGGAAGACCAGCTGGAAGAACCCCAAAAGAGTTGATCTGACAGTGCTGTTGGCTGAATGAGCTGCTTGTGTGGTGGGCCAGGAGAGCCTGGGTGTAGTAGTTTGGGGAGGAGGAGTGAGATGGGGTGAGTTTTTTAATCTCGCTGCTCCAGAGAGGTTGGGAAAAGAGGACTGGGAAGCCTAGGCTGGGGAAGGTGCATCCAACAAGGAATGAAGAGAGGAGGCAGTAGAAGAAGATGTGAATGCCAGAGTCTCATGGAGCAGGTACCAAGGGCTCGCACAGGGTTCTTGGACCCAGTACTCTTGAGAGCTAAAAATTGCCTAAGATTAATTCATCGGGTATCTCCCCAGCTGGATGTCACTGCGTTAGCAACTGAGTACATTCACATTGAAGAGGGCCTAGCAAGGAGATTGGGTGGGAGGGGAAAAGCAAGGAGGGTTCCCCTATAGGCCCTCAGGCTTCCCCCATGCCAGTCCCTGAGTTCCATGTCGTCTTCCTCTCATGGTGCCATGCTGGAATGGTGGGGAGTGAGAGATCCACACAGATCTAGTCCCTGGGCCATGCTAATTGTCTTGCGTTGTCCTCTGCCACCAGCTAGGCTCTGATTCTGTGAGTCTGCCCCGTCCTGGGACAGCCCCTTTCTCTGGGGGCGCATTCCTAATGCTGTTTAAAACATCAGTGCCACGTGTCCCCTCTGGCACTTGCAGTAACGCGAAAGCTTCCTCCTCTCCTCAGACACTAACCTCCCCCGAGAGAAGTCAGGGGCCTCCCTTTGCAGCCCCCGTTCAATGACGGTATTCTACATATGCAGTGTTGTTGCAGCCGTGTCAGTCCCAGGATATTAGAGAGACACGGCGGGAGAGGCGATATCTTTTCTTGGACCAGCTTCTGCTGATGAGAGAGACCAGCTTTCGAGCTTACAAACGCCGCCCTTATCTCGGTATCATACGTGGCCTTTTCCTTTGCACTGAGCCGCCTTCCCACCGCTGTTAAGCGGCGTTGGGTACGTCCGCACTGGAGCGGAAGGTGTTGTTTCTGGCTCAGGCAGACATTGAGCTATACCCACAAGTGACAGGGTGGGCTGAGTCCGATCCCACCCAGGCCCCAGGCTGGCGAGCTCCTCCCACAGCTTCTCTTTGTAGTGTGCTAGGAGCGCTCACGCGGGTATGTCTGCTTGGGCTGAAAATGACACCTTCGGCTCCAGTGTAGACGTACCCTTGGAACAACCGGAGTAGGAGCCGTGGGCAGTCCAGGATCGGCCGTTCCCCTCTAGTTTTGGGGGGGGAAGGTGTCGGTGAAATGCAGCGTGATTCTTATGCAGCCTGTTGCAGTTTCCAGCCGCTGGAGCTCTGCTGCGGAGAAGCAGCATGTTCTGCTCCATTGCTTGTTGCAGTTACAGCAGAAGAGTCCAGGACATCTTCCCCTGCCCGCATGTGTCTTCTCTTCTGGCTTCTCCTTGCTGCAGTGGTGGGCATTGAGTTGAGGCGAGCAGGCTGCTCTCTGTCATTGAGCACGGTAAGGAGGAGGGAGTGAAGCCAGGCCCATACGCCAGCAGCCACTGAGGCCGGTTTCTCGCCCCGTCCTGTGCGTGTGGATTAGGTACATACCGTGCTGCGGCTTGGGGAGCGTTGGTCCCAAAGTACAGTCTGCAGGAGGTTTCGGGATACCGTGACGACACTAACAGTGTCACTGCCATCTTGGATTCCCACCTTCTCCGCTCAAACAGGCGTTTTAAGGTTAGAGCAAAGCTTCCGCGGTGGTCGTGGGGTGAGACGGGGACTCGCTGCTTGGGGGCATGAGTCCGAAACGGCAGGTGGGCCTGGTGCCTGGGGGGGCTTTGTGGGCCCCACCAGGTAGCGTATTTGAAATCACTAGTGCCATGGGTCGGTCTAAGCCCCTGCGTGTGCTCGCATACACACACAGGCTAATCTCTTTCTGTTATGAGTGCTGGAATCCCAGCCATGTGAGAGCTTCCTGCTCTAAGGGTCTCTCCTCCTCCTCGATGTGCGTGTGCAGTGCCCACCAATGCATAGTATCGCCCCCTTGGGCCGTGGGGTTTAACAAACGAGACCCGTTCCCATTGCTTTCTCCCAAGATAACCGCTAGCTCCAGCAGCTGGCCCTGTAGTGCTGATCCGCCGGCTTGTTGCTGCGCTGCCACATGTGGACAAACATTGGGCTATGCAGAGACAGAGACTGCCTGGCGCAGCTCCCCCCCCCCCCCCACCTGCACCCTACAACTGCCCAGTCCTACCTAGTCTCTCTCCTTTAGTCACCGTTCTGCAAGCCCCCATATAAAGAGCAGCCTGCAACTTCTGCCCCTGCTCTGATTCATTCCGCGACGCTGCCGTCTCGGGCTGGGAGCGACCACGGCAGCAAACTGTGACCTTCCCGGGTGGAAGGGAGCGGGGTAGGAGTGGGCCGGCTGGAAGGGGGGAAGCAGCACGGACAGCCCGATGAGCCCATGCTCTTCTTGGCACCTAGGCAGCCCCTATCGTAGCTGTCGGCTCTGCAGGAGCCAGGGGGGAACTGGACTCCCCGACCCCTTGGTGACTGGCAGCAGCAGGAAGGAAAAGGCAGCAAAAATACCAGTGCAAAAATATCTCGGCCTTTCAAGAGGGAGGGAGGCTCACTCCCATGGTGTCTGTAAAGCCAGGATCCCACAATAGGGCCTCAGTTCCCCACCTGCATGCCCAGGATCATGGTCCCTAGAGGGATGTTGCGAGGCTAGAATGGATGAACGTAAAGTGCTTTCTCCAGCCACGGATGCAAGTCTGTCCCGATTGCGTCTGGGTGTCTTAGGCTCAGCTTAGCTCATGGGGACGTGTGTCTGAGCGCTCCTGCCCACCAGCAGCCAACGGGGCGGAGACAGGTACCCTAGGAACGAACCACCTCGCCGTGTGCGTATTGACAAAAGCAGCCATCGGAATGGTCCCCAAGTGCTGCCGCGGCTTTGCCTGCACTTTACGAGAGAAGAATGGTACCTGCTCTGTCGATCACTAGCGCGGTCACTGGGCGGCGCTGGAGAGCGAGTGGGGAGAGAGATTCCCCATAGCTGGGCTTTTTTAAACCCTTCTTTTACCTTTTGTTATTGACAAAAGAGGGAGCCCCCTGGGGGTTCCCGTTTTTTATTTTTGCATGAAATTCTGTATAATTTCCCGGGGGTGGGGGGTGGGAGAAGTGGGTATTTCCTGGGGGAGGGGGAGTTGGAGGAGGGGATATTTCAGAGTTGTCTTTGCCCCTCCTTTCAATCTTGTTGAACCCAGCCGTTTTGGGTGGTATTCAAAGATTCTTTATCACTAATAATGTACGGTCCTGTTGAACTAACTGCTAATAAAATGGGGCTCTCTGTTCGTAGTCACTTGCCTTGCCTCCACGTCTGAACAATATCTCGGCAAGAAAACAATGTCAGGGTTAAAGAGATCGGCCTGCTCCCTAAGGGGGTTTACACACACCCCCCGACTGCCTTGTCAAAGCACGTCACCGGGATAGTTCAACCCGCCCAGCCTGGCCACAGCTATGTGGTATAATGGTACGGGAAGGAAAGTCAGCTATCCCGGGCTCAGGTACCTGTATAGTGGTATAACTGTGTCCACATGACGGATGGGACAAGTATAACTATTGGTAAAAATCACCCCCTAACTCACATAGTTACACAGCTACCTAAACTGCGCAGACCAGGCCTAAGGTACGGCCGTTCTCAGCTCACATAGACGCACCTGCGCTAGCTTGAGACGGGGTAGCAAGGGCAGCGGCTCAGCAAGCTACCCCAGTACGTACCCAAGGGGTCCAGGCAGGTACATTCCTGATCAAGCTGCCCCCGCTCTGCTGTTCTTGGTAGTGCGTTCGCTCGCGGAGAGCTGGGAATCACGCCTCCCTGTTCGAATGCAGATGCTCCCTTTTGGGAGTACAAGTGCCATTGGCTTTTGAGGCTTGTTCTTGGACTTCTTTTCAATGGGACTCGTGCTGCCTGGCACACTGGGCTTCTCCATGCACGCACGTTGTACCCTACACACACTCGTTCACGCTCCTGTTGGTGCATCAGTGCCCTCCACGTGCACTCAGCTCGGGAACGTCCCTGTTTGTTCCATGCTGCTGTGGTACCAGCAGGGTAAGCAAAAAAGAACAGCACATTAGCTTTTGGGTGGTTTGGTTAATGATTTTCAATTCCCAGAGTCAATGACCGGGAAGTACATAACACTGAAACTCACTGAGGAGATTCAACACTAGATTGAGTCCTTGTGGTTAAAGCCCAGCTTGCAGGCAAATGGTCACAGCTGAGAAGAAAAGAGGTTAGATATGCGTGTGGTTTACTCTTGGTTTTCAGGAGTTTTCTCTCTCTCTCTCCCCGTTGAAATAACCTGTTCTGTTACACAAAACTGAAGGCCAATGAAGCCCAGATCCGGTATTTCGCAAGCCCTAATTTGAAGCACTCCGTTTGGTTTCTTGGTGCAGTGTTCCTGTCACAAGCCATGGTTTCAAGTAGTCAGACTCCTGGATCCCAGTTCTGGTATAAGTACAGGCCCCAATGCCTGATTATAGTCATTTTGCATCCTATTGGTGAGGGCCTAATTGAATAAGTTTTAAATCACAAGGTTTCAGTGTTTTCGAAGCTGCGTTCAATGTTCTAAGCTCCCTGTCTGTGAATTGCCGATGCCCCTGGTTT